TATATATATATATATATATATATATATATATATATCAGGTATAATTTTCATCTTTCAGGTGAGTGTTGACTCTTGATGGCTACTAGACTAGTCCTTGCAGATTGCTATGCAAAACTAAACTTTGCCATCTTCTGGTTTTTAGCTTGATGCCTTAATCACTATGCCAAACTGGTTGTCAAAGATTTTATATTTATTTATGTAAATACTAAATATCCTTACAACATTACTATGGCAATCTGAGTGCCTTTTTTCATGGGTGTGATAGTTTATAGTGCAATCCAGAAATGTTTAATAGCTAAACTTTCAAAATAGTGTTTTATAACCTCTTTAGATCAGAGTCTACATCTATTGTTTGTCGGGGAGGGGAGAGAGAGATTATTTCCAAAAACAGTTCATTGGTTATTTTTAAAATTGATGATAGGTTATCATTCCTTAACAACAGTTAGTTTGATGACTGTTTGAAGTTATGGCAACACTGAACAAATGGCCTCTAAATTACGACCATTTGCAGCACCCCAGGAATCATGTGATCAAAATTCAGGTTCTTGGCACCCCGTCCATCAACTAGAGGTCTGGGGGATGGCAGCGACAGCTGGCTGAGACTGCTAAAGGCCTCAAACCCCATTTCAGCCCCAGCATCATTGGCGCTGCCGTTACCACTATGGCCTACTGATCACAGGATGGCCAAAAGAGCACAGATGGAGCGGGGGAGTTAGGCAATTGGGAGTTCAAAAGGAGGTAGCCTGTTACATTTTGAGGCTCGGGGCTAGGGGGCACCAAACCATGAATGACTTGGATTGGGATGGGACTTGCCTAACGACTAGTGGGAATTGGTTAATGATGACAATGGGGATTTCTGGATTTCTGTCACTAAGCAGTGCAATCATGTGGCATTGCCAACCCCATAGTTTAACAATGGAAACTCCAGTCCCCAATTACCTTTGTAAATTGAAGACTACATGGTATATGTATTTCTGCAGAGGAGCAGAAAGAAAATATCATGGGGTAATAGTTATAGCTTACTGTACTCAGTTCATAAGCTAGTTAAGTACAGATAGTAGAGAAAGAATTGCCTAGTAAGCCTTTGCAGAAATCTAGTTGTTCTAAAACTTATGGAACGTTTTGCGAATGTAGATGAAATAATTATCTTACAACTTTTGAAATGTTTAAATGCTTCTTTTACTAGAAACTGAGTATATTTGAAAAACTAGGTTAACAGAATACTTTTGAATAGCTGCTGGGTTTCACTAAGCTCCATAGAACATCAGTGTTGTTTTAGTCCTCATTTTCTCATGTTCCGCCATGGCCCTCTGGTAGCCTCTTTTCCCTATCTCCTAATGCACATTTTACGGTTGTAAAATAATGAAATATTTTCTTGCTCAACAACATAAGATGAAAGTCAAATGTTTAGTACATCCTTCTACTATTGTTTTAAGTAAATAACATATAGCAGACAGATTTTGTTTGTGTAGCAAAGAACAAAATACATCACTGATACTCCAGTATTAAAAAAAAGTAAATTACAGAGATTAAAGCAAATTAAACACAAGTAGAAAAACAAACACAAGAAAAAATAATAATTTCAACACAAGATGAATTCTAGACCATATTGAAATATATTGCCTATCTTAAAACTATGAGTACAACCTGACAAAAATGTATGCTTGTTAGCAATCATTTCATTGTTGCAGTTATCTGATGTGAAAGAAATCATTCTCTGAGTGAAAGGACATCTTTCAATCTAACCACTGCAGGTAAAATTAGTTGATGCAGCTGAAGTTGGTTGTGATTTAAAAGTGGGATTTTATATATTTATATTTTATATATATATATATATATAAAATTAGTTGATGCAGCTGAAGTTGGTTGTGATTTAAAAGTGGGATTTTATATATTTATATTTTATATATATATATATATATAAAATTAGTTGATG